AAAAAAGAAAACAAAACCAAATCACAACCAAATCCCCTTTGTCCCCCTCCCCCAAGGCAACTATAATTATGTGTCTAAATAAATTCCAGTCTTCTTGTTTCCTAATGTTAAGGAATCAAACCCATGGCCTTTTATATGCTAAGAAATGCTCTACAAATGAATTAGCCTGCCTTCCAATCCCAACTTTGTGGCTAAGGGAAAAAAAAGTTTTCTTTCTACAAGTAACTCTGATGTCATTTTTTTTTTTAAATCACACTTAAGTCATGTTCTCCCCTTCTACACAGAACAGGATGTTTACTTTAGAGACGGCTCTTACAGGTGACCTTCTAGAAGCCTCATCTCCACAGCCTGTGAGTTATTCCTTAGCAATTGTGAATGGCAACTGATCAGACTTGTCTCTAGTTACTCATAAGCAAGTATGAGAAACACCCTAATACCCCCAAACCCATTCTGATGGCGTTACTAAGTCTACACACAAGAGGAGGGAACTCATTTCTTCTGTGTAAGACTGGCTTGAATAAAACAACCTGGGAGTGTGTGTGGGGGGGAGAAGTCATGTTTTCAACATGCCCAGAGGTGAACAAGGAGTCTAAGTACTCTTTCAAGGGTAGAGTTCAGAGCCAGGCACTGAGCTCTGAAGTGCAGCCAGATTCCATTGTCTCTATAGTACAAGGTAGCAGTTGGGTGTGTCCCCAGACTGATGCCATTTCTGAGATCTTGTGACACATGGAGCTTTGTGAACTCAGGGCTGCTATTCAGCCTTTTACCCTGCCAGTGACCCAGGCCTGGCTGAGATGTAGTGACTATCCCTTGTGATCCTTTTGAGCCGACATTCCATTTATTAAGCCTCACTGGGTTATGAAACAGGATGGAGTAAGAGACAAGAGCTAAGTATGGTTTCTGCATGACAGACCAATCACCAATATGTGACCAAGGACAGATATGGATAGTTGACCAGAAGGACCCATTTCCACACATTCCCTCCAATTCTATGATTACTTTAAAAATGTCCCCTGAAGGCTAAGGATATACTTGGATGGTAGGGTGCTCGGCACTGCAAGTGTTACAACTAAAACCTTTTCCCCACTTGGTTCACGATTGTACAGTATTTGAAAAACACAATTATATACAAAGTATATAGTGACCACCCCCGGAGCACCGTGGCCTCAACCCACCCATGACAGCATAAAGGATCAAACAGAAAACCCAGGAGGCCATGAAGATCTTAGAGGCTCAGCTAGACTTCAGTGACACAAATATACAAGTCAAGAGGACGGACAGCTGGAAAACGTCAATGTGAGAGGGGAAAAGTTAACCACACAACAAACAAAACCGTATTTTATTAAGCTGGAAAACAAAATATTGAAGACATTTTTTCCCCCAAGAAACTGGGACAGTAAATGCAAGTGGCCATGAAGGAAACATGGGGTAGGGATAGGGGTCCGTGGCACATATGCCTCAGGTATGTGCGGGTACACATACTTCCTTCTGTCCTTCTCACATACCCTCGGGTGAAAAGCCAGTCTAGTGGCATCTTCAGGGCTATCCCCCAGCTTTTCTTTCTGCATTCTGTAGCCTGTTTCACCTTTGGCCCTGGATAGTCATATCTTCAGTGGAGAAAATTTAGCATCTCTAATCATAGGTCTGTGCTACAATGCTGGAGTTTGGCTCCTGGAGAAGAGAAATCACTTCTGCTTGCACTTACCAGAAAAGCCAAGGGCCCTTGGTCAAAGCCCCAATCTCAAAGAAAAATGTCAAACCTTTAGAACTAGTTATTTTATTAAATGATATTAATACACATTCCAAAAGGATTTCACTGTTGTTGCCTCTAAAGCATGTACTTGTTTTCCACACTGAACACTCGATAATATCAATCCAACATATCTACTTTTTTTTTTTTTAAATCTTAACAGGTAACCCCACCAGTTAAAATATGAAGGTGGGGGGAGCAGTAATTTACAGCCGCTTCAAAAACTAACAGCTGAGGCCTAACTCCATCAACAGGTAATGTTAGGACTGAGTGGATCCTCTGTGGTAAGAAAGCTGAGCCTACTCACATGGTCTAGACCAGCTTGCTGTACCACATTTATCATAAACACTGTTTCTGGGTTCAGAGAGGAGAAAAGTCCTAGTCTGCTCATGATACCCTCCCAGGAGTCAAACCAAGTTCTGCTGACCTCGGGAGGGGGGAGTTACAGGGAGGGAGCTCCCATCTAAGCTGAATAAACTCTTAGAAAATCCTCCAGGATCCTATTTGACACAGCATCACTGAATTCTGTGTGGTACTAGAGTATTCATGGAATTCTTTGTGGTTTTACAGTGAGCATCAAGGACCTTAGTGACAACTACTCATTCTGCTTCACGAATCATGTCCTTGCTAAAACACACTATGCTGTGCATTCTTTAAAAAATATCTTGTTTATTTATTTATTTTTAAACTCGGGGTGAAATACAAAAGTCAGAGTATGGTACCGAGTTTAAATCACAGACACACGAAGAATAAAATCCTTGTTTTATCTTTATGAATACCAGAAATGTCTTTTGTTTCACTATATCACATATATACAGTTGTCTTCATTTACTGTTGTAGGAAGATTTCCTTAAAATATCTGACAGCTTCATATAACCCCACTTCCACCCTGAAACAAACACACTGAAGATCTTGTGGCAAAAACAAAACAAAAAATATCCTACAAACCCCAAGCCCTGGAAAGTCTGTCCTTGAAGTACCCCTGTCACGTGGTGGCCATTATGCTTTTGAAGACAGTTATCCTGCTTCAACATTCCAGAAACCACTTTCCTGATACTTCCCTATTTTCTTAGAAAATCAAATGGTCAGAGAGCGTTTTCAAGTAAACAGTATATTTAAGTTTAAATAAGAGTGGTAGAAAGAATTCACATTCTTTTATTCTAGACTGAAAAACACCCCCACTTAATTTCTGGAAAAAAAAATCAATTCTGAAAGTCACAATTTCCTTGCCCCACCCCCATTCTCTCTGTTTGATATATTTTTTTTATTAAACAAATGTCTTAAGACCCAATATATAACTATACCTCCCCTGCTTTGCTATGCTATATACCCAACCACACACACAAGGCCATGATATCATGCATTTTTTTGTGGGGCAAGCTACAGGGCAGAGAGACTTGAGAGAGGAAAGAGAAGAACCAGCTCAAACTGGATGTGAATTCTGAGGCTGTCTTGCTGCACCCTCACACAGAACACAGCCCCCAGGCTGTATTGGACAGCCTTTCTTCAGGAAAAAAAAAAGTGGTTTGTTCTGAGACAGAGGATTGTCTTTGAGCACATGCCACACTTCCCTCAGTTTGCTACCCCACTGAGGAACCTAAGCACTCCATTACCTCCTCACAGTTTGTTAACTTGCCAGATTCCTCCACAAGCTCAACACAATGGTGTAGCACACCTAGTTGGAGATTATAAGCATGGACCCTGGTGCAACAGAAAACCTAGTGTGCAGTATTTGCGTCCCAGATACAAAGACAGAAGCACTCTAAGCACGGTGATTGTCTTTCCCTTAGGTATTAGCTGTAGAAACACAAACAAGCTTTTTAATGCAGGGAAGAAAGCTCTCCCTCCACAGCAATGACTCAGGCAAAACAACTAGTAGTTGACATGAGAATGGGGGATCGGAGGTGGGCACTGAAAGCACCAAGTTGCTATTTGCTGAGGGCTAACATGGATTCATCAGGACGCCGCTTTCTCTGTAAAGACATGGCCAGCAATACCCACCTGTCTCTAAGACACACCTACACAGTATCATGTAAGGATACCACTCAATCGCCTCTGAAACAGCAAGAACAGGGGTGAATGCAGGACTGAGATGGGGGTCGGGGTAGAAAGAAACTGTAAATATTTTCCTTTCTCTAATAGTTAATGTTGGCTGAAAACCACCAGGTAGGCACCATAGTAAACTAAGTGTCTACTTAAATATTTAAGAAGGCAGAGACAACATTTTACCTAGATTCATTATCAATTTAGTTAGAATAACTGAGGGAGAAAAAGTAGGGGAAAGCGGGAGACAAGGATATGTAGAACCATCAAATGTCCCCTTGTCCTGTCCACAGAGGACAGCTGGTCACAGCAGCGCTGGGTGACCCTGTCCAGCTCTACACATTGTCATCATTTCCCATTTTAACCTTGAAATTATATTCAGGTTTTTTCTTTCAACAAAGAAACTTTTTTCTTTCTTTTGAGACAAAGTTCCACTATATAGCCCAAGCTGGCCTCAAACTGCCATTCCCTCGTCCCTGCCTCCCAGTGCTGGGGTTGTGTGTGCCACCACATCCCCCAAGAGAAAACTTTTTACTACACAGAAGTTTATACTGTCTCAGTCACTGCATAGTAATAGTTCAGAGAAAGCTGCTTTAAAAGCAAAGAGTAAGCACTCTGCTTCAACACGCCTTTAGAATAAAGCAAATAGACCCGACAGGCCCAACATTGCCCACATTTTCCCTCTGAAAACACTCTCAGCCTTTTGCAGGGCAGAGACTACAAAGAGGGCAGCTAAGCTGGTTCCGCAAGTTGCTTAGCTGGAGAGGGAAGGAGACAGGGATCCTCCTACTGCCCACCAGCAAGGCCAAGGCCCAAATAACACCCCAACATTGCACATTATTACCTGTACTGACCGAAAGTTTATTTCCAATGTAAGTAATCTCTCAATAGATAGGATAAAATACTGTTTTCCTCCCCACTCCCTATACCCCCAGCCAAGTAATGTGGCTTTGGTTATGTTTACTTGTGTTTCTGTTTTTTTTTTTTTTAAAGAAAAAATACAAACAACTTGGAAAAGGTCCTAAGCTTGGAGAGAGGACTGGATAATAGCAAATTGTTACCATGTATGCTTCTGAATTTGGAAGGAAGGCCCTTCATTAAAAAAAAAAAAAAAAAAAAAAAGCAAAAGAAGAAAAACAAAACAAAAAACCAAACTGCTACTTCCAATGCTCTCTAGACTGTTCAAAATGCCTTTCCCAGATTTCCATCAGTACCTGGGAGGGAAGAATGGGCGTTTTGGTGCAAAGAACGGAGGGCCCCTAACAAAAGGTGGCCTGGGTCTCTTTAAACTGTGGAATGGGTCTCTGCCGAGAAAAGCTTCCCTAGGCCGAAAGTCTGGCCGGGGACTCCGTAAAATCATACCACTCCGGCCGATGGCGTCTCTGTGTGCGGGACCCAAGGGAAGGCCACTGCTGCTGGTGTTGCCTCCCCCACCTCCTCCAAGGGCTGGGCCCAGGTGCTCCAGAGGGTGGGAAGGCAGGCTCAGGCTCTCTCGTGCACGGCTAAGACCAGGGCCATTGAGGTCCCTGGGTCCTGTGAGGACCCCAAAATGCTCAGCCATGGTCCCTTGAAGGAGGGAACTATGGTCCTTGGGAAAAACTGCCACAGCCCCAGTCACTCCATGCTCTGGCAGTGGTGGAGTTGGGAAAGGTACAACCCCAGAGTGATCAACAGGGGGTGGAGGAGGGGGTGGAGTAGCAAAGGGGACACCAGTCCCTCCACTGCTAAGTTCCCCAGGGGGTGGAGGAGGGGGTGGTGGAGGGAAAGGAACTCCGCTGTGCTCTCCAGGAGGAGGTGGTGGGCCAGCATGGGCCAGAGATGCCTCCTTTGTAAAGGGGTTCGAAAGATCCACAGAGGGCAGATGAGTGGGTGCCTCTCGAGAGAAGATACCACCATGATCCTTAGGAGGGGCAGGTGGGGCAGATGATGGCCCCACTGGCTCTCTCTGGAAGGGTGTCCCATGTTCCAAGGGGGATGGGGGGAGATGATGCTCAAATGTTGAGTTGAAACTGTTGGAACGAAAGCTGGTGACACTCTCCTGAAACTGGGGTGCCCGTTCCTTGTATGGCGTTGTCTTAAAGCCAGTGAGGCCTCCGCTGCCCCCACCCCCAAGGGATGCCAATTCAGAGGCACTTGAGGGACCATTGTCAAAAGAGCTGCCTGGTGTGCTCAGATCAAACCAACCCACTCTTGAAACCTCACGCCCATGTCCTCTATTTCCCTTCCCAGGAACTCGTACAGACTCTACGGTCTGTATCGGCTCTCCTGACATCCTCCTATTAGCTGCGTTATGATAACCTAGAGTTTCTATAGGGGCCCCCTTTTCTTCTGTGCTGTCAGGCAAGTCTAAACAGGAGGAGGAAACACGAGTTTCTATTCGATAGTGTTCTTCCTGTTGCTGGTCAGTGGTGGGCAAGCTGGGCTGGGTGAGGTTTGACAGGCCGACACCATCACTTGAAGGACCCTTGTTGGGGGTCTGGCCAAAATGCTTATCATCTGAGGGCTTGCGTGAGGCGTTTTTAAGCATATTCTTAAACTCAATCGTCGATGTGGTGGAAATCGTAGAGGCCAGGACTTTTTCCACGCCTGATGTGGGTGGGTGGCCCGCTGGAGCGGCAAGGGTATTCTGTGAAGAGAAAACGGAACGATGTGGGACTGAGTGAGGAGAGTCTGGGTACTGAGTCTGTGGCAAAGCGAGATGCCCAGCAGTAGGCTGAGTCAAGCCACTGTGGTTGGAGTCAGGGGTGAAAAACGAATCATTTTTACTTGGTGATGGTGACCGCTCAGACCCAGGTTCATTCCCTCTTATGTTGAAGGCGCCAAATAGCCCAGGAGGAGATGAAAGGCGGTCACGGTTCTCACTAGAGTCCAGGAGGGCCCTTACAGATGGAGGGAAGGCAGACTTGACCCCAAACTCTTGGGCCCTGTGGTTGTAACTAGACAGGATTGGCTGGTACTCAGAGGCATCAGAAAGCTTGCTTGACTTCAGGATGGATTTGGCTGGTTTCTTCTCTAGGTTCATCATGGCAGATGGTGGAGGCCCTGAATATTCAAAATCTCGGTAGTCCTCATCTTCCTGGAAGGAAGTATCTGGGAAGAGCTTTTCCTGTGAAGAGTCCATCAGTGATGACGGCCTCTCAACTCCACCAGAAGGCTGCTTATAGGGAGAGTCACTGCCTAGACCAAAGGGTCGATATGTAGACACAGAATTGGGGAGCTCTTGGGGGTAGCTTTCATCTCTTCCAGGAGGTGGTGATCTTGTACTGCTGGGTGTTGAGGAACCAGGGCTGATGATCTTAGACAGCAGGGACATTGTGTCTACACTGCTGGATGTGGGCTTATCCATCATCTCATCCTGGGTGGGTGTCCCACTCCGTTCATCCCGAACAGGAGTTCCATCGATGCTGTCAACTGAAGTGCTAGTAGGACCTCGCTGGAAATCCGAGGAATGGCCCTCTGACGGGGCACTGGTTCCCAAGCTGCTCAGGATTGGGATATTTAAGTTTAAGCCACTGAAACCAGGATTACCTTTTAAGAAGTTGTGGATCTTCATTTCCAGGCTTGGAGAAGTGGACTCTGATTCTGGCTTTGGCTTGGAGACCTCTGAGGATTGGCACATGGCAACTTCAGTAGGTGGGGCAGCAGGGCTAGTACTGTGGGTACCTGCAAATCCTAAAGAACTGGATGGTAGTTTAAAGGCAGTGCTTGGGAGCACTGGGCTCTGCCCAACTGACACCTTGCTTGCTGAAGTCGAAGAGACTTCAGCAGTTGAAGAATTAGGAGAATAGTTGAAGCTTTTGGAAATAAATGACTGGGTATTGGAGAGCAGATTTCTCCCCTTTACGGCAGAGCCTGTGGAGCTGGCAGGGGAGGCTGTAGTGCTCTGGGAAGTAGCTTCACTGGCTGGCACGGGGTTCCCAGTAACACTCTGAAGTAAAGATGACAAGCCTGCAGAAAGAGATTAGAGGGGTTAAAAAGAACAACCACACATTATAACGAAAACAAGGCAGGCTTATTAGATACCATCACTCACTGTGGTGGGAACCACAGACTTTAAAATACCAAGTTCAAAGGAATCTAGACTAAACAGACAGTGCCTATCTGAGACAAAAAAATATCAGGTCTATTTATCAACCTAAGACAGCAAAGCACTCAGTCCCAGAACAATCCAGATGCAAGTCCCGTTATAAAAGAAAACAGGAAAGAGAGGGATTTTTAATGTCAGAATCATTCATGGCTTAAACAAAGCCATGCAGCAGGGGAAAGGAAGCAAGCTCTTTCTAACACAACGTTCTAAGCCAGTGTCTGCGCTTGAGCTGTGGAATCTCTGTAAACACAGAGGACCATAACTGCCTCTCTACCTTGTCGTCTATTCCAACACATGAGCATGCACTGTTGTTGTCAGAGGAAAAGAACATACCCAAAACTTCAGCCTGGAATACCTTTTTCAACAAGTTTACCCCTTGTAGACCAAAGCTTTTATTTTGTATATGTATGGGTGTTTTGTCTTCATGTGTGTATATGTACCACATGCATTCTTGATGCCCAAGAACCAGAAAAAGGCACTGGATCCCTGGAACTGGAGTTACAAATAGGCTGTCAACTGCTATGTGGGTGCTGGGAATCAAACCCAGGTTTTTTTTGGAAGAACAACCAGTGCTCTTATCCACCAAACCATCTCTCCAGTCCCTGGTGTTATTTTTTTGAGACGGTATTTTTTGAGACTATGTATTCTTACATTCCCTATGTAGACCAGGCTGGCCGTGAACTTAGAGAGATCCACTAGCCTCTGCACAGCCTCCTATGTTCCCAGCCCTGTTTAAAGGCGTGAATCATCATAGTCAGTGACTAGAATTACTTTTATAGGAACAACATTTTCTTTCTTTTAAAATTTTATTTTTACTGTATATGAGTTTGTGGATTTGTACACGTACCACAGTGTGCATGGAGTGGTTAGAGGACAATTCTGTGGGATCAATTATTTCCTTACACCTTTATATGGGCTCCAATATTGAACTAGGTCATCAGGCTTGTGACAAGTGTGTTTACTCACTAAGGCATTTTTACCCACCTTCTCTCTTTAAAAAAAACATTAATTTTTTTATGTATATGAGTATTTTGTGTATGTGTGTGTGTGTTTGTGTGCGCCTGTGCGCGTGCATGCGCCTGGTACCCATGGAGACCAGAAAAAGGCATCAGCTCTCTTTAGCTAGGGCTGGAATCAAGCCTGTGTCCTCTGTAAGAGCAGTCAGTGCTCTTCAGTTCTGAGCGTCATCTTTCTGGCCCTGTCTTTTTGGGGGTGGGGAAGTGCTTACGTAATCCAGGCTGGCCTCAAATTCCTTAAGTAGCTAGAAGTGGCCTTACACTCTAATCTTCTTGGTTCCACTTTCTAAATGCTGGGAGCTCTTTGTGTAGACTAGTATGGCCTTGAATGTATGGAGATCTGCCTGATTTTATTTGTGTGAATATTTGTGAAGATGTGGAGGACAGAAGGTTATAGATCTTCTAGAGCCACAATTTAGAAAAAAGAGCCAGGCTGTGGTAGCATATGGCTTTAATCCCAATACTCCAGAAGCAGAGGTTGGCAGATCTCCATGCATTCAAAGCCAAACTGGTCTACATAGCATGCTCAGGCTCAAGGTCAGTCAGAAGTATGTAGTTGAGACCTCACCTCAAAAATAAATACATAAAACAAGCAAACAAACAAGCAAGCCGGGAGAGTGGCTGGAGCAGACCCAGGAGTTAAGAGCATTTTCTGCTCTTCCAGAGGGCCCAAATTCCTGGTTATTTGTCTTTCTGTGTCTGGCTTACTGTGCTTAATAACACAATGGTCACCAGTTACATTCATTTCCCTGCAAATATTGCATTTTTCGTTTTCTTCATATGGTTGAATTAAATCCAAATGAGCACATATCCACACTTTCTTTAACTATCTGTGGATGGGTACTGAGGCTGGTTCCATTTCTTAACCGTGAAAGGCAACAGAACCTCTGTGATGTATGAGTTAGTTCTCCAAATGTAAACTCAGGAGCAACACTACCCGAGTCTTACCAGAGCTCCATTTTCAGTATTTTCAGAAAAGTTCATTCTTACTTCCATGGTGACTAAACGTTTACAAACCCATGGCACTGGAGACAAGCTTTGTGCTTCCCATATGCAGACAAGGACTTTATACTGAGCTACACTTCCCATGTGCAGACAAGCACTCTACACTGAGCTACACTGCTGGCTCAGGCGGCTCTTTAGAAGGCAGGTAAGGGTCACACACACCATGTCTACCCTTTGTGTATTCATTCTTTTGTTTGTTTTTTTGAGACAGGGTTAACCCTGGCTACCCTAGAACTCACTACATAGACTATGCTGGCTTCAGACTCAGAGATCCACCTGCTTCTGCTTCCTATGTGCTGGGGTTAAAGGTGTGCAATACCATGCCTGTCGATTTATTTATTTACTGTTTTCTCAAACAGGCATTTGCTACACAGCCCAGGTTAGCCTTGAAATCACAGCAATCCTGACTGAATGCTGAGATTACAGATGTATTGTCTCTCAGATACTGTGGGGACCTGTTCTTCCATCGACTACTGCTTTTTCAAAGACAGTTACTGTCATGTCAGTGCGATGGCTCAATGGTTAAGGCACCGATGCCAAGCCTGATGACTTGAGTTTGATTCTCAGCATCCACATTGTAGAAGAAGAGAAACAATTTTCACAAGTTGTCCTTTGACCTCCATAAGCATGAAGGCACATATAACCCCTCCTCTATAAGTAAGTGAGCTTAAAGAGACAGCTGTGACTTATATCTTGTCACTTTGCTACATTTCTTTTACCTCAACAAGCTGTGGAGTCTGGTGGGTTTTTTGTTTGTTTGTTTGTTGTTGTTTTTTTGACATAGGGTTTCTCTGTGTAGCCCGGGCTGTCCTGGAACTCACTCTGTAGACCAGGCTGACCTTGAACTCAGTAATCTGCCTGCCTCTGCCTCCCAAGTGCTGGGATTAAAGGCGTACTCCATTGCCACCTGGACAAAATTTTCTTATTAAAAAAAAAAAATTAAGCCTTAAAAAACTATACTGTGTGTGTGTGTGTGTGTGTGTGTGTGTGTGTGTGTGTGTGTGTGTTAGCGAGAGAACAATTTGAGGGAGCTGGTTCTCTTCTTCCACCATGTGGGTTTCAGGTAGTCTGGTTTGGCAGCAAGTGGCTTTACCCACTATCCTATTTTGCTGGCCTCTAAAAGATTTTTGTTTACAATGTTTGAGTGAACATGAGTATTTATGTTTTGGCATACTGAAAAGTTAAGAAAAATTCCATGGGGCCAGATAGATGACTTAGTGGTTAAGAGCACTGACTGCTCTTTCAGAGTTCCCAAATTCAATTCCCAGGAACCACATGGTGGCTCACAACCATCTGTAATGGGATCTGATACCCTCTTCTGGTGTGTCTGAAGACAGCGCCAGTATACTCACACACATAAAATAAATAAGTCTTAAAAAAAAAAAAAAAAAGGAAAAACTCCACTTTTTTCCCCCCACAAAAGTAGAATTTTTCCTTTTTTCTCCCACTATCTGTTGTAGCCCTGGCTGTCCTAGAACTTGCTCTGTAGACTAGGCTGGGCTCCAACTCACAGAGATCCATCTACTTCTACCTTCCAAGTGCTCTGGAATTACAGCATATCACCACACTGGGCTAAGAGTTCCACTTTCTAAAGCAAAAGAAAGGTGACAAATGCTGCTATTCCATAAGGAGTTTTTTTTTGTTTTTATTTCGAATCCTGTCAGAACACATTTCTTCAAATTCTATCTGACAAGAAGGACCACATGAAACTATTATAGCAATCTACAGAACAACAACAACAAAAACAACAAAAAACTCTATAGGTACCGTGCTGCATCTAGAGGAGAAACTAATATAGATGACTTCAAGATTTTCTACAGCTACAGGACAGGAACAGGAAGGGAGAAGTCCAAAGCACCGTCATCTCCTCAGTCGCACACAGTGAGCTGTTGTAAATTATCATCAGTATTGTGTGCTTTAAAAACAGATAAAACAGCCACAGCCCACTGCAGCCTAGGCTGACCTGAAACTTGAGATCCAGTCTCCTAAGATCTGGGATTACTGGGAACGTCAATTCTTTATTGATAGGTCAACAAAAAGGGGTTTCAGAAGATCACCAGATAGTATTTAGTTTTGTAAAATAAAACTCTTTCTTAGAATGACTATTGAAGATGCAATAGTAATAGATTGATCCAGAACAGTTCAAGAACAGAAAGTAATAGCTATTTATATGCTTTACTTATATGGACAGGGTTCCTCATCTTATCGCTGCTGCTATTCTAGCATAGATACATTTTTGTGGGTGGAGCCTACTCTATGCATTATGAGATATTCAACGTTTCTCTGACCTTGACCCATTAGTTCTAAACAGCGTCTCTGTCCCAGCTGAAACAAAAGTATTTCTAGTAATTGCTAACTATCACCTAGAAGTCCCTGGCTTTAACAAGGACGATACTGTTCTGGTATTTACGATTAACTGCATAACTGTACTGAGATGTTTAAGAAGGGTTGTGTAGGAACCTGGAAAACAAGAATTGAAAGATCGAATATGATTCATGAAAAGCTGAAGCAATTTTATGTACAAGACATAACTGAGAAAGCCAAAAAGAGAAGTCTAAATGAGGCAGAGACTGCAGATAGAAGGGAGAAAACAGATATATGTCGGTTATATTTGACATAGGTTATATATTAAAACAACACACACACTACCCTGCACTAAGGGTTAGGGTTAATGTAAGCCCCAGTAGTGCCCTGCTGCAGGATAGAGTATTAGCTAGCTAAGGAGTCTCCTTCTAGTCTCAGTTCATCACACATCAGACAGACTCATAACCTTAACCAAGCACATCACCTCATGAGCCTGGCTTCCTTACCCGACTGGGAGGGTATTACTAAACTATATTTAAAGTCTGTTTTAGTGTTGACATTTTCAATTCTCTAATTGCCACCTCATAAATATATAAAGTATAAAGACAGTAATGAATTAACTGTATTGTACATTTCATGGCTTTGGGATCCTCAGAACTAGAATTCAAGGTTACACTGGAGACAAACATTCACAATTCAAGTCCCTCTGGCACATGTCAGTTTACCTTGGAGTGCAGGGGCTGACTGTGTCTGGGTTTTAGAAAGAGCAGAGAGAATGCTCTCTGGGGTGATCTCCACCTTTGACAGGATATTTGCCAGAGGGTTGTGAGATGGTGTTGTGGCAGGTGCAGGTGTTTTCAGGCCACTGCTGAGGTTGCTGGGACTGGTAGGAGTTCCTGGAGAAGGTCTTGATGCAGAACTGACCCCTGGTGGCAGAAAGATGAACTCAAGAAAATGCAATACTCAATTCATGACACTTTCCACTCAATGAAAGATTGTTTAATAGTAATTCTGGTGACTGAACCACAAATAGTGCCCATTTTGACACATACAAAGAAAAACATGTGAAAATATGAACTGTTGTTTCTATTTGGAATATTCTTAAAACAAACAAGCGCTATGTTATTTTCATGCACATTCCTTGGTTTTCAGAGCAGCCACCAGAACAGAGCGGGCAACCTGCTTCTGCTCCCATGGTGCTCAGCGACTGCAGCAGGTTGCTGGATCAGAGGCACTACCACTGCAGAGCGCTGTCACCACATGTCTATGAGAGTGGCAAGGGTTTTTCTCTTACACAGCCTTTAAAGTGACATTATACAAATAAACTCCTTTACACTTTTACACTTCAAAACACTGGGTCAGTTATCAACACAGTAAAAAGGTAGATGCAGACACAAGAAAAACATTCGATTTCTTAAAATATGACAAAAACCACTAGGAACAGATGTTTTACAAAGAAACATAAATGAACAAATGAAAAAAATCTTTAATTAAAATATAGATATTATCTTTTCAAGATTGAATGTGACAATGGAAAGGGTTAGAAACAATTAAATTTCCAAACACTAGGTATATAAAATAGTATATTCTTAAGATAACAATTTGAAAAGCTACATGCTGCCTTTGGTTTTGTGTTTTCTAAACAGGGTCTCAAAATACACCCCAGGCTGGCCTTCAATTCTTAATCTTCCTGCTTGGCTTCCTCATTGCTCGTGTTACAGGTGGCAGCACATCTAGTTCACATGCTGATAATTTCCCCAAAAATAATACAGTGGGCAGGGCACAGATGGAATGTGTCTGTGTCTGTCCTTCTGCACCCGCGTGTTGTGCAGCAGACTTCTGTTATCACTATTATCATTGCCAGTATGTGGATAACGGGGCTCAGAGGAGAGTTTTGAGGAGTCAAATTTCTCCTGCCACCTTTACAAGGGTCCTGGAGATTGAATGTAGGTCTCATCAGGTTTGCATGGAAAGGACTTCAGTATTCTTTATAAAGTGAAAAGCTGAAAACATAGTAATGTCTAACAACAAGAATTACCATATACTTCAACAGCCATTAAAGTTGATGTAGATGACTTTTCTTGTGTGTGGTACATGCACAGTTATACACTCCCACATTGTGTGCACATGGAGACCAAAATGAAACCGTGTGTCTTCCTCTGTCACTATCAAATTTTGGGAGATTATGTCAATCACTGAATCTGGAACTTCAAGTTTCTGCTAGACTGGCTGCCACTCCCCAACATCCACATGTCTGTACTCATTCCCAAAGTGGGTTTATAGACACACAGGTAAGCCTGGCTGTTCTATGGGTGCTGGCAATCTAAACTCAGGCCCTCATGCTTACAAATCAAGCACTTCACTCACAGAATGATCTCCCTACCCATCTCCATCATTTTTGTCCAGAAAGGGCCTCATGTAGCCCAGGCTATCCTTAAACTCCTCATCTCCTGCCTCTTTTCCCAAGTGCTGAGATTATAGGTGTGCACCACCCAAACTAGCTGTTTAGGTTAATATTTAATAACATAAAAATTTGTGATACATACTTAAGTTTTAAATAAGCTGATTTAAAGATAATATAGGCAATGTTTCAATTATTAAAAGAAAAAGTATTCCAAATATATAATCTCTCAAATCCACATACATGTATATATATGAGTGGTTTTCTTTGGTGTAGTAAGATTATTTTTGGCTTTTCTATGACGTCTATCCATTTTTAATGTATTTTTAATTAAAAAATTGAAAGAAATTTCACCACTACCACCAACAAAAAATCCCACTCCGATGGTTCAATTAAAAAACAGATGGCAATCAGTGGTTTAGTGTGGTCACTGGGCTCACTTACCCGTATTTTTCATGACCGATGTTAGGCTGCTAAGAATGGAACTGATCTTAGCCAGATCCACATTTGCCAGGTTCGGCAGAACCAAAGTTGGGGGAGGGGACAGAAGTGAGGTGTTCAGAGGCTTTGGGAGAGATGGAGCTGCTGTCGTGGGCACAGACGGCGGGGCACACGGTGAGGCTTTTGCGACACTTTCTGTTGATTTGGTGGGCACACCAGTGGACACAGCTGGTTTCTCCATAGGTTTTTCTTTCCTGTCTTCCACTGTTTGAACAAACAAAGGAAACAATTTTTATGACCTACTGTCTAGATTTTATGTCAAAATGAAACAATGTTATGCCCTAATATTTCTTAATCTGAGGGCACAAAGCACTACACTACTCACTTTATGCCTTAAAACAAAACAAACCAGTCCCTAGCAGCCATATTAGGCAGCTCACAACACCCAGAAGCTCCAACTTCATGGGGCAGATGCCCTCTGAAATGCGTACACGTGTATTCACATAGATGTACACTCACACAAAGAAATATAAGGTAAAACAGATCAGTCTGTATAGTTTATGACTACTCCCACCAATGAACTGCATCTTACTTTCTAATGATTCTCTTGTATACGCTGATTAGTGTAGTAATAACTATAAATACGTATCTTTCTAAAACAAGAGTGAGACGCCAGGGAGATGAGGGTGTTCAGGGAGAAAAAGATAACCAAAATAAAATAAAATAAAATAAAATAAAATAAAATAAAATAAAATAAAATAAAATAAAATAAAATACCAGTGAAGCAGCAGTACCCCCCCCAACAGTCCCCCCTTACATTCTTGAGAACATAGTTTTACTTGCTATTTATTCGTACTGTTTTATGGAGATGGTGTTTGCCACAGGGAACTGTATTTGTTTGTTTAAAAAGATTTATTTATTTAGTTTGAGTACACCACCATCGCTCTCTTTAGACACACCAGAAGAGGGCATAAGATCCCATTACAGATGGTTGTGAGCCACCATGTGGTTGCTGGGAATTGAACTCAGGACCTCTGGAAGAGCAGTCAGTGCTCTTAACCGCTGAGCCATCTCTCCAGCACCCATGAAGAACTTTCTTAGCAAAAACTCCATACATATTATTATTAATATTATTATTATTTTGTTTCTACAAGTTGTTCAACTGTGAGTATAATAGACACTATAATTATTTTTTAAAAATTATTTTATGTATATGAGTTGGTTTTTTTTTTCTTTTTTTTTTGTCTGTCTGTATGCCTGTGTACCATGTGTATGCAGTGCCCTATGAGGTCAGACGAAGGCATCAGATTCCCTGGAAGTGGACTAACAGACAGCGGAGGGCTGCCACTGAGTGCTGGGAATCTGGAAGAGCAGCCAGTGCTCCTACCTGCTGAGCCATCTGTCTAACCCCTAGGTACTAATTTGAAACTGCAATGCTTTAAGTCTTAAAAACTTTGGTTGGACTTGGTTCCCCCCTCCCTGCCTTTTTTTGCTGGAGAATGTTGCAAGGCAGGGGGAGGGGGCAGGGGACAGGGGACAGGGGACAGGGACCTAGGGGACTGGGAAGTGAGTACAATCCAGGTCATAATGTGAAATTTCCAAATAATCAATAAAACTATTGTGTGTAAAAAACAAACAACAACAACAAAAAACTTTAGACTATACTCTTCTTACTACTTTATTTTTTGGGTTTTTTTGGGGGGTTTTGTTTGTTTGTTTCGAGACAGGGTTTCCCTGTGTAGCCCTGGCTGTCCTGGAACTCACTCTGTAGACCAGGCTGGCCTCGAACTCAGAAATCCACCTGCCTCTGCCTCCCAAGTGTTGGGATTAAAGATGTGAGCCACCACTGCCCGGCTTTTAATTTATTATTTATTTTATGTATATAAGTACACTGTAGCAGTCTTCAGACACACCAGAAGAGGGCATCAGATCTCATTACAGATGGTTGTGAGCCACTATGTGGTTGCTGAGAATTGAACTCAGGACCTCTGGAAGAACAGTCAGTGCTCTTAACTGCTGAGCCAGTTCTCCAGCCCCCTTACTACTTTAAAGAACATAGTGAGTAGTTTATTTAATTCAACAGAAGTCTAAGTATTTAATAAGAATAATTATAGTGCAGATGCCAGACAAAAATTAATTCAAGTTAATTGTGAAAATGTAGTTAATAAAGTACAGCTTTAGAATTCTTTTCTTTAAATTATTTTTTGATTTATTTATATGTGTGAGTATTCTGCCTGTATTCATGTGCACATTTCTGCCTGGTGTCCAAGGAGGGTGCACAAGAACGCCAGATCTCTTGGAGCTGTGGTTATAGGCGGCAGTGAATTGCCCTGTGGGTGCTGGGAACTGAACCTGAATCCTTTGCAAGATTAACAAGTGCTCCTAACCGCTGAGCCACTTACTCACACTAGTCACATTGAGAAGAAACAAAAACACTTTAATATTATAAATTCTTGTATTATAATTTACTCAATATATCCAAACTATTTTTAGTCTGTAATACATAAAAATAAAATCATTTATAAACACTGGGCATACTGCCTGTGAAAGGCCCTCGGTCTCATCTCCAGTACTGTGGAAGACAGTCAGTGAGATACCTTTATCTCCTCTGTGTGCTGTATGTGTGTAGGAATAATACAGAATAAGCTACTTTTTAAACATATCAGGCCTTACCAATGATTTTTGACCCATCATCTTCCACATCTGAGAGTTCCATGTCTTCCACATCACGGTTATCTGTCACAGGCTCAGGGGTGGCAGATTTGTCACTCTCCATGGTTGGTGACTGAGACTCTTCACCTCCCATCCCCTGAAATGGAGACTCAGAACCAGTTGGGGAAGGAGCATCCATACTTGGAGAGGGGACTGGTGATTCCTCAGGATCAGGAAGGGTTGACTTCAATTGATCCAACTTCTTCTTTAAGTTGTTTACTCGGTTAGCGAAGGTTTTATAAGCCTAAAAGAGAAAAAACACTTACTTCTTTGACATAAGGAACACCTAGGTACCAATTAACAAAACTAGCACAAAACAAGAATATCACAGAGCACAGAGTAGTCTTGGGTATCTACTTCTACTCAGTGAATATTACTACGCACAACTGTTAGAAATCTTTTAAAAGTTTATTGTGTCTGTGTGTATAATGAATGTGGGTGTCCAGGCCATGATGTGTATGTGGAGGTCACAGGAAAACTGGAATAAGTTCTTTTCTTCCATTTTTATGCAGGCTCCAAGGATCAAACTCAAGTCTCAACAGGCTTGTATGCCAAGTGCCTTGTATGTGCTGAAACTTTGCTTAATTTGATAGAAATGCTGCATCAGTCATAGTCAGTTATTCACTAAAGCTTGTCCACATTTCCTCTTTTTTACCCATTATTCCTTTCCTAAGTCAGTATTGTATTCAAGATCCCACAGAAGTTATGTCTCCCCATGTCCCTCTTGTGATATTCTTGAAATTTCTTTGTTTCTGATGACCTTAACAACTGTATCTATCTACCTTAAGAATTCTGAGGAATACTGCAAAGGTCAATTGATATTTGTCTGCTGATTTTTGTCATGATTAGACAAGGGTCACGAGTGTTTGGGCGAAGAGCACAGAGCTGCCGTTCTAACACACCAACTCACCACAGCTGATGCCGATGCCAGTACTTGCTGTAAATCCAATGTCCGGCTCCTTTTTCTTACTACTTTATTGTGTCTGTAAATGTGTATGAATACGCAGCATGACATGCAACTCCCAGCTTTGGGAGGACAGCTTTGGGAGCTGGTGCTTCTCCCCACTCTCTGGGTCCTGGGACCAAAGTCAGACTGTCAGGCTGGCAGAAAGCATCTTTACCTGCAGAGCCATCCCAGTGGTCTGCTAGTGTCTCTTCAGTTCTTGGTTATCTTAAAGCTAGGTGCTTTTTAAAACATTGCATGTGCAGAGGTCAGAGAACAAACTGTGAAAGTTGGTTCTTCCCCTCCATTGCTCAGGTCTGAAAGATCAAACCCAGGTCTTTAGGTTTGGTAGCAGGTGCTTACACACTTAAACCACCTTACCCCTCCCCTTCCTTTTGTTTTGAGTCTTGAACTGTCACATTGTAGGTATTACTTTATTTTGGCTAGATATTCAAAAAACACTATTTAAAAAGACACTAACTAATATACTGGGCACAGTGGCACCTGTCTGTAATCCCAGGACTTAGTAGATAAGAACACTGGCTACTCTTACAGAGAACTTCGATTAGGTTTCCCAGAACCCACATGGTGGGTCACAACTGCTTGTAACTCCAGTTCCAGATCTAACTCTTTCTGTCTCTGAGGGCACAAGGCACACATGTTATGGTCATGTACACATACATACATGTAGACAACACTCACATACAAAGGCATGTGACTAGAGACATGACTCAGCAGTTTAAGACCACAGACTGCTCTTCCAGAGGACACATGTTCAATTCCCAGCACCCATATGGGTGGCTTCGAACCATCTACAGATTCCAGCAGACTTGACACCCTCTTCTAGACTCCAAGGATACTGCATGAATGTGGTGAACAGATGTGCATACAGAGGCATATATTCATGCACAAAGTAAATTTAAAAAAGTAAAAATAAATGAAATCTCAAAAAATTCTTACAAAAGGGGATGGAAGGTAGGGCAGGTGGGCATGGGGCTGCATGTGCAGGAGATACGGCTCAGTGGCTAAGAGCACTGGCTGCTCTTCCTGGGGTCCTGAGTTCTGTTTCCAGCACCCACACAGCAGCTCATAACGGTCTATAACTGTAGTCCCATGGGATACAGTGTCCTTTTCTGGTGTGCAGATGTCCATGAAGCCAAACACCCATATGCATAAATAAATCTTGAGAGGGGCTGGGGGTGGTGAGAATACAAGTTTGGTACAGTGGCGTGCACATTTAACCCCAGCACCCAGGAGGCAGAAGGCAGAGGCAGGCCTCTGAGTTCAAGGTCAGTCTGAGGGTGGATCCTAAAACAGCTATCTCTTACACACACACACACACACACACACACACACACACACACACACACGAAAAAACCCAACACCAAAAAACCTAGACAGATAGAACCCAGAAGTATGAGAGATGTCTCACTGGGCGGGTTCAGTACCCAATACCCACTTAAAGATAGGTGTGGTGACTGTAACACAGTGTTGTGGGTGGAAGGGTCAGGACAGGACAGGAAGATCCCGAGGACTTGCTGGTGAGCCAGTCTAGCTGAAACAGTAGGATTCAGGTTCAGTGAGAGATCCGGTATCTAATAAAGAAGGCTGGAGAGGACCTGGGTTCATCCAGAACCCACAGTACGTACATGGTGCAGACACGTATGTAGACAAAACACTCATACACATAAAACTAAAATAAATAAATCCTGGGGGGAGGACACCTGAAGTCAACAACCTCCTGCCTCCCCATGTGCACATCCAGGCACTGCACATGTGCACACCTTCACACAACACATGCAACAAAGAATACCACACATCTATTTGCATGTATTCAAAACTGCTGGAGCAACCAAAATGTAAGTGAAGAGCAGCAGCAGGAAGTCCATGAGGAAAGCTGGTTGATATCAGTGGTGGTCTCTTCTCTGAGGTTCCGCTTTTGGGGAGCAGTGTAAAAACTTGAGTATCCAGACAAAGAGGACACAAAAAGTCAAGTACACTAATGAGCAGGGTTTTCAGTAGTCTTTCTAGCACAGGGAATCAACATTAGATACTCAAATGGCTGAGATTTTGACAAGAGGAAGGGCAGAACTGACTCAATCAATTTTGTTTGTTGTTGTTATTGCTTTCTGAGAGTCCAGAAAGCGCAGCAGATAAAGGCACTTACTGACAAACCTGGTAACTGTACTTTGCTTCTTGAAATCCAAGGTGAAGAGAACTGATTCCCAAAGGTCATGCTCTGATGGATGTATGTGCCATGCTACTCAATAAGAATAAAATTTAAAAATGTGTATGTGTCTATAAAACTTATACATACTGGATAGTAGCAAATACATATTTCAATAAATAATACATAAATCACACATATTTATTCTGTAGGTGGGCATATGGGTAAGTGTATGCCACAACAAACATATAGCAGGCAGAGAACAAATTGTGGGAAAGCTGGTTTTCTCCTACCATGTGAGTCTCAGGGACAGAACACAGGTCATCAGGTTTGGCAGTAAGTGCCTTTACTACCCTTTAAGCCATCTCACCAGACACTAAAACTATTAAGTCTATATAGAGAGTCATATGTTTTAGCCATTTATATTTCTAGTCTTAGTTTTCATTTCTATAATATTGTGAACTTCTAGAAAGTAAAATTAATAATAAAAAAGAAACACTAAGGCATGATAAAAAAAATCAAAAGCAGAGGAACTAGTTACAATATGAGTTGTTATGGTAACTTAGGCACTTCTGGAGGTTGGAGGAATTACTTCTTGTTAGCTGAAGCTGAAACCTTTCATTAAAATATTCTAGGAAATGACTGCAGGCTTTCCTTAAGGTCTGTCCCCATGAGGATAAACTTTTATGTCTATATCTGGTATCTTTGTACATGTGCATGACCTGAGGAAGGGGTCATGACACCTTCTCCTCAAGAAAACTAGTACTTCACTCCAGCAACCTAAATTATCAAATCTTTGCTTCTTTGACCACTTGCATTAAAAATTAATTTTAAAAAGTAATTAAAAATTATTATAGTACCTCTAGTCATTATGGTACCCCAGCTTTTAAAAAATATCCTTGTAATATTCTAAATATATAGGATACTATAGAAAAGGAAAAGAAATAAAGAAATACTAAGACACAATTGTACATGAGTGTCAGTATCTGAAAGATTCATAATTTTAAAAAGAGAATATTTTTTTAAATTTATTATTTATTTTATATATGTGAGTACATTGTAGCTGTCTTCAGACACACCAGAAGAGGGCATCAGATCCCATTACAGATGGTTGTGAGCCACCATGTGCGTACTGGGAATTGAACTCAGGACCTCTGGAAGAGCAGCCAGTGCTCTTAACTGCTGAGCCATCTCTCCAGCCCTCAAGATCCATGTGTTAATCTAATCTACCAGCTTTGTCTTGCAGAGGATACTAACTATTAATTCTAGTGCTTACCCTCAATGCTGGTCACCCTGTATAGCAGTGTCTGACACACAGGAAGCATTCAATAGGTAACAGTCGGAGTTACTTACGTTAGCTACCACTTTCACTTCCTTGTACTGTGCTTCATAGAAAATTCCAGCGTTCTCTAATGCTTCTGTTAGTGAGGGCCCATTTTTCACCTGTTTATCTAATCCATTCACAAATTCCTCTAGCTTGGAACTTGCTTCCTCAAATTCTTTGGAGAACTTCTTCCCACCTGTTTTATCTGAAAGAATGGAGAAAGTATTTATATCAAGATTAGAAAAGTAAAAAAGTTAATCCTTTGAGTGAAATTCCTTTCCATGCCACAGTTGTTACTGTTCTGTGACACTTTCCTTGTTGCCCTGGTGTTAAGAGAGTGACTATGCAGACTGACCGGGCCTTAATCTCACTATGCATGAAGTCCACGATGGCCTCAAATTCACGATCCTGTGCCTCAGCCTCCCCAGTGCTCAGAGTACTAGTATGCGCTACCAGATCTGCCTCTTAGTGAGTAGTATTTCTAGTTTAAACTTTTGTTGATATAGAGTTTCAAGAAGTTGTTCAGATTGTTCTTCGTCCTCCAACTTCTCCCCAGTGGTTAATATTACAGACTTGTGCTACCAGACTACAAACCTAATCTCCTCCACACCCCAACACACACTGCACAGATCGACAAAAACAGATCCATGTGAACTTGTGAGAGTGACTCCAGAATAAAGGTGTCTGTACTGTAATTAAGATAAAGTTCAGCTGAACTGGTTACATTTTTTTAAAAAACTTTTTATTTTATGTGAGCAAGTGAGCAACTGGAATTACAGGCCAATGGTGGTGAGTCACCCATCATGAGTGCTGGGAACTGAACCCAGGTCCTCTGGAAGGACAGCAAATATCCATAACCACTGGACCTCTCTGTTCCACACCCTTCATTTTGCAAACATTCTCCATACTCCTCCTCAGGAATATCAGAATAAAGTTCCACATTTTTTTTTTTAAACTTGTATCTACTTTCTGTAGTGCAGAATATTCTACAATGTCTCTTCCATGAGAAACTAAAGTTCAGAGAAGTTAAGTCATCTCTGGGGCATCAGACAAAAGTTCTTCACTCTTCTCTGCAAAGTGTCCTTAAAATCCAGCAAATGCTCCTTTCCTTGTGCCTGCTGAAATACAGCACTGCATAAGGGCATTCACTTGTCTTTGCCTTTCATCAGCTATGAAGTGTAAGCAGCTACGCATCTCTGCATGAGCCCTCAGGTCTCTCACGGGCAGCACAGAGCTCTGCAGGATGCTTGTGCATAGTGGTTAGGATTAAATTCGATGCCTCATGTTCAGTTAACATGTGGTGCACAGGACAGGGATGAGTGGACAGTGCTGAAGTCACTCTGACCATCAAGTGTACCATCACTCACTCTTGCTCTGCCAAGATATTCTGTTTACACTGAAGGGACACACCCTTAGAAACATGACAAAATAGAAGGCCAGGCATCACGATCTTTGGTAACTAAATGCACATTAGCAGATCTTTGTCACTGTTGTAAAGCATGAACAGAGCTAGAAGCATCATTTGTGTCAATGTGAACTGTTACAAATGGGGTATGTGTGTGTTGGCAGCAGCACACACTTTCCCTCCCCCCACTAGCTGTTAAACACAGCTACCCAGTTTAGAATACATTCTTAGCCAAGTCTAACTTCATATAGATACTGAAGCAAAATGGGAACATTTAACTTAACTTCTCTGAACTTTAGTTTCTCATGGAAGAGACATATTGTAGAATATTCTGCACTACAGAAAGTAAATACAAGTTTTTTTTTTTTTTTTTTTAAAAAGTAGAACTTTATTCTGATATTCCTGAGGAGGAGCATGGAGAATGTTTGCAAAATGAAGGGTGTGGAACAGAGAGGTCCAGTGGTTAAGGATATTTGCTGTCCTTCCAGAGGACCTGGGTTCAGTTCCCAGCACTCATGCTGGGTAACTCACCATTTTGTCTGAATCAAAATGAGAACATTAAACAAATACCACAACCCTCACCAACATGACTTTGCTATGAAGTATAGATTTTGCTCTTTAGAAAAAAAAAGAGCTTGCTGAGCAGTGGTGGGGCACGCCTTTAATCCCAGCACTTGGGAGGCAGAGGCAGGCGGATTTCTGAGTTCGAGGCCAGCCTGGTCTACAGAGTGAGTTCCAGGACAGCCAGGGCTACACAGAGAAACCCTGTCTCGGAAAAAAAAAAAAAAAAACTCTGACTGCAGGACATTTAGATTCTAATAAATTACAAGTATAATTTTAACTACTTAAAATGTGAACAAGGAGAGGAATTAAGCAGACTTTACAAGACGATCGAATGATCTTACTAAAGAACAAAACCAAGGAACCACAAAGGGGAGGAACAGCTGACGGTTTATAATACAAAACAGCATGAAAGTGAGAATAAGAATTTGTATTTGAAGCCAAGTATAGTGGTGCACAGGAGGCAGAGACAGGTAGCAGATCTCTGTGAGTTCAAGACTAGTCTGGTCTACAGTGTGAAACCCTGTAACAAACAACTCCCTACCCCCCCACCCCCAGTGAAAGAAAAAACCAAAACCAAAACCAGCAGTTAAGAGCATTTGCTGCTCTTGCAAAGGACCTAGGTTCTGTTCTTAGCATTCTGATGATGGCACACAACCATCCTTAACCCTAAGAGATCCAACGCCCTCCTCTGGCCTCTGTAGGCACTGGGCACAGGATGTGAGATATATATACATTCTAGCAAAATATTGATACACAGAAAATGAAATAAATAAATCTTCTGAAACCCACAAAAAGACAAAACCTGCCCCTCTGCAGGGAAATTTATTCATTTGTGAGGTTTATACAAATCAAACTGTTACCTGGGAAATCAGTGGAACCACAAGGGTTCTGAAAATTGTTTCACTCTACCGCTCTTTAAACACTGTGGGTGACTCATCCCAGAACCACACTGAAAATTCTCTTTATGGGACAAACTAGTCTGATTACATAAAATCAAAGATCAAGAAAGGAAACACTGAGCTATTTTATTTAAAAGGATGAATCTGTTACCTTTTAAACACTTGAGAGTTTCTGTGCTGCAGACATCCACTCTCATAGTTGACAACTGTTTCTCCTTCAGTTCAATCTGATCTTCTGAGCGTTTGTACATCAACAATTCTTCAATGAGGGCCTGAGACTGAACACAGACCACAGTCAAATTTCATTCATAGGATTATATATTCTCTCCCCTAGATGTATCAGACTAACGACTAGCAAAGCCCTTAGGGGAAAACTTTTGTCTTTCCTCTGAGCAACAGAAATCAATCTTTAATTCTCATGTCAAAACCACACTCTTAGATATACACTTACTTTTAGGTTTTGGAAGATAGGATCTTCCTACATAGCCCTGAAACTTGCTTGACCAGGCTGGCCTCAAATTTGTTCTTGCCTCCTGAGTGACAGAATAAGCCTTTCACCATCACAACCAGTAAATTATATACTTAAAAAAAAAATCCTTTTTGTAATTAAAAATGTTTTTAAATTCTACATTGAATTTTTAATCTGTGCAGCATGTGGGTGCCATAGTGCACGTGTAGAGGTCAGCCGGCAAAGCTTGCAGGAGTCGGCGCTCTCCTCTCATGTGTGTTTCAGAAAGCAAATTCAGGCTAGCAGGCTTGGTGGCCCTCCCCAGTCCCTAATTATTCAAGTTAATTTACAGAAACAAGGTTAACACTATAACAAACCCTTACACACTCCTTAAATTTAATTAGATATACAGTCTTGTTCTGCTTTAAGAAAATTTTAATTTAGTAGTATTGAATTTAAAAAGGAAGCTTATAAACTATGCATAGAGCTAAGTTAGCAGCAGATGTTCCAAAAGGCTGTTTCTCCATTAAAAAAACAGATAACCTCTAGGCAAGCTATTCCTGTTCTGGATTCCCTATGTACAACAGAGCAATATTCCCTAAGTATAACAGGGTCTGGCTTCAGAGGTGAGTAAATCATCTCTGGTACACCGAGTGCACTCTGTAACTTACTCGAAACTCAGCAACAATCTTAGATTTGAGAGCAGCTTTTGGATTCGTGGATGCTGTTGAAGGAAATAGAAATTCATTAAGAATACAGCACAAAGACTCAGCCAAATTCAGGAAAACTGAAATGTAGAGTTAAGGGTGTACTCTGCAAACATACAGCAGTCATGCACACATAAGTCATAATATAATCCTGCAGTAAATTAACTATGAAATTTAACACTCCTAAATATGGCCAATAGAAAAATAAATTACTTAGATAAGTCTAGCCAACTTACCTCCAACAGACTTGTTAAATTCCCAAATTAATGATTTGAAGACACTGAGGTAGGTACATGAAGTACCTTCTCCTAGTTTCATCAAGTGTAAGAAAATCTCAGTATCCCAGTGTAAGAGAGTTCAGGAACAAGACATCCAATTACTCCTGAGCACTGGACGGAGAAGATTGTCTACAAATATCAACTCCCATCTGGTTAAGTTTGGATTATATTTTAGCTGACTCAGTTCAGAGTAACAAAGGTCTAAACGCATTATCGCTGTGACTGAACTTTGGTCAAACTGATGGATCCCGCTGTTCCTAAGCATGCAATGTATGACAACAGGGTGCCAGAGGACTCCCTTAGCCATGGCGAGTACCACATGCTTGATGGAGCAAACATCCCAACTCTCATGTCACCTCCCAATTCTCCACTGTCTTTCACCTTCATCCCTCCAAACCTTCCAGTCTCTCGACATTCCTCAGTTTGCCCACAACAGTCTATCACATGCAGCATTCCACTCCCTTGATATCATGCTGGGTAAGTGGGACAAACACAACAGGAGCTCCAGATAATGTTTCTGGCCAAAATTGGAGGCCCAAGTCTAAAGTGGTAGAGTGTATCCCCAAATCTGAAGGCTTTCATGGCTCCCAGAGAAACGCTTCTTAATGCCTAGTCTCCTCTTCCGCTCTGTGGTGTAAAGCCAGCTGCCTCTAACTTCACAAATCTTTGAACGTGGGAACTGCCTGGGTACTAGCAAGTATTTTTTTTTCTTCTTTCAATACCCCAACTACTCCTGGATCTTCACTCAATTAAACCCTTTTCTGTATTTCCTTTAATAGTAGTTTTTTTTGTTTGTTTGTTTTTTGTTTTTAAAGAAGTAACTTCATGCTGGCTTGATTAGTCTAAGTCACTGGGAGCCTCCCAGGCCTGGAAGACACAGGCTTGCCCATGGTTTATGCCAGGTACGATGTCAAATGGTCTACATTTTCTTCTGCTCCAAAAGGAGGAGGTAATTTTACGTTAGTTGAGATTTTGTTCCTTACTTTGTGATTTCTTCCACTGCTTATTCGGTTGTTTGTTCAGATTTTCTTTCAGCTGCTTCTGAGTTTTGAAAGTGGTACCTGGAAAACATTGCAGTTTTTGCAGTCTGGCATTATGGGAAGCTGCTCTGTCTGTCCACTTCAGTGCCAAAGTTGTAGCATGAAAAAAGGCAATCCGTGACTCTGCAGTTTCTTTCATTTCTTTTCTTTCATTTTTATAAAAACAAAAGCAAAACCAGAAAACACCCACCAAATCTAAGAAGCTATTAAATAATTGTAAAAATATATATAATTAATGAAACCTTCAATTCGGAAAAAAAAAGGTAGACACTAAAAATAAGTTACGTTTGAATAGAACACAAACTCATATGAAGGACTTAGCAGCTTCTTAGAAGGTGTACTTTTAAAACCAAATCTCTAGTGATGGTCTGATACTGGTCACAGTAATAACTATTATCAATTTCTATTCAGTGATTTGGTTACCTAAATCTTATATGTAAGAACTAATGTACTTAAACACATACAAACACACACACACAAACCCAAGAATAGATATATAACTTACTGCAAATCTAAGTCAAATGGAGATTAGAGACTACTCAAGAATGCTCACCACCAACTTAAAAGCTGTGAAACCATGGCCAAACTTTCCCCAACAGTAAGAAGACTGAGCAGTATTTATTAAACATAACCAATGAATACTCTGAAATACTTAATGAAAGTAAATACAGGAAAAGAGTCAGAAGGGTATCCTCAGGCCGGGCGGTGGTGGCGCACGCCTTTAATCCCAGCACTTGGGAGGCAGAGGCAGGAGGATTTCTGAGTTCGAGGCCAGCCTGGTCTACAGAGTGAGTTCCAGGACAGCCCGGGCTACACAGAGAAACCCTGTCTCGAAAAACCAAAAAAAAAAAAACAGAAGGGTATCCTCACTTAACATGCTTGCGTTTAGTCGGCAGAGACAAAGATCTAACTTCCTACACCATTCAGTTCTATTTTGAGTTCAAACATTCATATATTTATGTATTCAATTCTAAACAAATCAAGCCAGATTCTTCCACCCCCTTTAGTGTTATACAACTGAAATATCTATAAGTACAGACAGAACTGTAAAGACTGACTTAAATTCTTTTAGTAAAGAAAAGGAACTTACTTAAAGCTTCTCTCAATGCCACAATCATGTCTTCTGGGTACACATTTCGATCTTCCCAGATTTTGAAGATTCGTTCTATAGACTTAGAGACAGATGGATCCCTGGAAGAAAAGTAAAATGTAAAAATGTTGACTTATGGGCTGGGTGTGGTGACACAAGTCTTTAATTCCAGCACATGGGAGGCAGAGGCAGGTGGATCTCCATGTGTTCAGTATGGTCTACAAAGCAAATTCCAGGATAGCCAGGGCTATTACAAAGAGAAACCCAATCTCAGAAATCAAATACAACACAACAAGTTGAATTACCCTCAAACTAGAAATCTGTTACATACTCAATAACTATCACCTAGATTTCTTCTGTTACATGTTTTTTTTTTAGTTATGAAAAAGGATCTACTTATTTACTTTATGTGTTTTGTCTGCACATATACACATGTGTCACATGTGTGTCCAGTACTCAAGGAGGTCAGAAGAGGATGTTGGATATCCCAAGAACTGGAATTAGGGAAGGCTTTGAGTAACCTATGGGTGCTGGGAACCAAACCTGGGTCCTCTGGAAGATCAGCAAGTACTGAGCCAACTCTCTAGCTTTGTGTATACCTTTAAATATTTTTTCCTGCATTATTTATTGCTAAGGAAAATGTCCTTATTCAATACTTTTATCAATGACAAAAATAAGGCTACAGATATATAATGAACTTTCTGATACTTATGAAATTCAAAGGTCTAGTCAATGCCTGAAACAATTAGCATTCCAAAGGGTAAGCTGAATCTAACAAAATAAAAACATGGGGCCAGAGAGACGCCACAGCAACTCAGTGGGTACTGCTCTTGCAGAACACCCAAGTTCGGTTTCCAAAATGGGCAACTTCCAACTGCCTGTAACTTCAGCTCCTGGGATGTAACATCCTCTTCTGGTATTCATGGGCACCGTGCCCCCCACCATCCCCTGACACATACAGGAAAGAGAAGTGGTTGTTTACTCTGTTCTCCTCCTCCTCCTCCTCCTCTTCCTCCTCCTCCTCCTCCTCTTCCTCCTCCTCCTTTTCTCTCTCTCTCTCTCTCTCTCTCTCTCCCTCCCTCCCACCCCCCCCCCCTCCATCCTACCTTCCTTCCTTCCTTCCTTCCTTCCTTCCTTCCTTCCTTCCTTCCTTCCTTCCTTCCACAAGGTCTCACTCTATAACCCTTGCTGCTCTGGAACTCATTCTGTACATCAGGCCACCCTTGAAGTCACAGAAAGCTACTTTGCTTGTCTCTGCCTCCCAAATGCTATAATTAAAAGCATGTATTACCATGTTTGGCATAAAAAGAAATTTAAATCAGGGGTTGGATGGTGGTGGTGTACACCTTTAGTCTCAACACTTGGGAGGCAGAGGGAGGTGGATCTCTGAGTTCCAGGTCATCCTGGTCTAGAGATAGTTCCAGGATAGGCAAAACTACACAGAAAACTTGCCTCAAACATCCTAAATAAACAGACAAACAAACAAATAAAATTTTTAAAAAAATTTTTTAAGGAAGAATTTGGTCGAAAGCTGAGAACTCAGTTCTATCCCTGGGACCCTCATGGTAAAACGTGAATTAACTCCTAAAAGTGTCCTCTGACCTCCATGTGCGTGCTGTGCCACGTGGATACATACACTAAGTAAATGTGATAATGAACAAACATAACAAATGGTGTTGGAGAGACAGCAGGTAAAAGTACTCACTGCCCTTGCTGAGGACCTGGTTCGGTTCTTTACTCCCAAGTGGGGTTTACAACTGTCTGTTAATTCCAGTCCTAGAGGATCTAGCCTTCACTGACACAAGTCATACGTGTGCTGTACACACACACACATACACGTATGTATGTATATATACATATCATAGTGAAACAGCACTGGCCTACCAGGTATCCATATATAAGGCCCTATTTTACATCTTCAGCACCAAAACAAAAACATGAATACAAAAACCAAAAATAATTGCACTAAGATACAAGAAACACTGAGGTTTTTTTCCTTTAAGGTTTACTGAACCCTAATCATGAATCAACTCTACCCTACAACACATGTTCTGAGAAATGGATGGCAGCCTCTCTCTCCCTGGCAGGCAAGCAGGCACAGCACCCATACACACAAAAGAAAGATAATAAACCTAAAGATAACACCCTCAAATACAGAAAACAAACAAAGAAGAGTCAATGAGCTGGGCATGGTGGAAAGAAAAGAAAAAGGAGGGATCAAACTGATATGATCTCAAAATGCAAAATAAGGGCAGAGGATGAGAGAGCATCCACCAGCCTAATATGCCCACCAAAGGCAAACAGAGCCAACACATTTAAAGCATGTCCACCAAACTATATGGACACTACAGTGTAACAGTAGAAAGTTAACTGATTATGTGGGTCACACCTGTGACTCCAACGTTTGGGAGGCAGAGAAAGAAGAATGGCCACAACTAAAGCCTGGGTAGGGTTCCACAGCAAGATCTTGCCTTAAAAGAAATTAAAATAGGGGAACTGGAGAGCGGACTCAGCAGTTAAGAGTACTAGCCACTCCTGCAAAGGACCCAGATTCAACTTCTTGTATCCACATTGTGGCTTTCAACCATCTATAATTCCAGTTGCAGGGGATCTAATACTCTCTCAGGCTTCTGTAGGCCCTTCATATGGTACACATACATACATGCAGCCAAAAGATCCATACACATAAAAAATAAATAAGTAAAAACTAAAATAAATAAAACAAAACAACAAACACCCTACCAACTCCAAATCAGGCAAACAACAAACTAACGTGGCACACTTCCTGCCCTCCTGCTACGAGTCTGTGACATTATGTACATACAAACAACTACTTTGGATACCTAATGGCACATACAAAAATCATTAAGTTATACTGAACTCTTATAAAATGCTAACCCTGGTGTTTTCTAAAGGTTTATTAACTGGAACAGATTATACTTCCAATTCTTCTTCTTATATGCTGAGACTCCTTCATTATTAAAAAGAAAAAAAATCTGTAGGGGCTGGAGAGATGGCTCAGCAGTTAAGAACACTGACTGTTCTTCCAGAGGTCCTGAGTTCAATTCCCAGCAACCACATGGTGGCTCACAACCATCTGTAATGGGATCTGATGCCCTCTTCTGATATGTCTGAAGACAACTACAGTGTACTCATATACATAAAATAAATAAATCTTTAAAAGAATTGTTAAAAAAATCTGTAAGTTGAAGAACACTAAAAATTAAACTATGAATGAATCCACAGAGAGATAAGAATGATCGACCACGGCCGGGCAGTGGTGGCGCACGCCTTTAATCCCAGCACTTGGGAGGCAGAGACAGGCGGATTTCTGAGTTCGAGGCCAGCCTGGTCTACAGAGTGAGCTCCAGGACAGCCAGAACTACACAGAGAAACTCTGTCTCGAAAAACCAAAAAAAAAAAAAAAAAAAAAAAAAAAAGAATGATCGACCACTTCCTATCCCCACTCCGGTTTTTGCTTTTTTTGAAATTTAAGAGCTCTGCCTTCCCTGGCTCCCCAGGTGCTGAAATTAAAAACAAACACCATTACACTTGATCATTAACACAGTATTTCACTTGGGTCTTGAAATATGCACAATTATATATGTTCTTGTCAATAAGTACAAAAACAAGAAAATAAAAATTAAAAAAAAAATTAAATCCCCAAGTACAATAAGGATTTACTTACTTCACTAGAGCAGCCGCTTCAGGAAGCACATCAGCAAATGACTCACGGAATATGATTGCATTTTTCCTTTTACAATTCTGTATGACATCATTGGCAAGATAAAAGAGATTCAAACGGTGAGGATATGTAGCTGGAGAGAAGAGATAAAAAAAAAAGTCATTAACTTTTCCCAAATATATTGTTTTCAAACAGCTAACTTTTTAAAAATTACACGTTATTATTTTATGCTTATGGATGTCTTGCCTGCTTGTATGTATATAACATATATGTAGTGCTCACAGAGGCCAAAAAAGGACTTAAAAGCGGCCAGTGCTTCCAACCCGAGTATCTCTCCAGCCCCAGTTAACTGCTTTTACTTGGGCTAATTACATGGATGGAGTAATAAATAATCAACTAATGGATTAATTTATTAAATGTACTAAAAACCCCTTAACTAGTTGAGGTCAAATTTTTGTTCAAGGTACTGCTTCAGTAGACCACTTCATTCTGTAGATACTTGGTACTGAAGGGAAAAAAAATCCATTAAAGAAATTAAAACAAGAAGCTAACCACCAAAAAACCAAATAACCCAATCAAAAAATGGGGCATAGAACTAAACAGAGAATTCACAACAGAGGAATCTTTTTTTTTTTTTTGGTTTTTCGAGACAGGGTTTCTCTGTGTAGCCCTGGCTGTCCTGGAACTCACTCTGTAGACCAGGCTGGCCTTGAACTCAGAAATCCACCTGCCTCTGCCTCCCAAGTGCTGGGATTAAAGGAGTGCGCCACCACTGCCTAGCATTTTTGTTTCTTTTTTTTTTTCTTTTTCTTTTTTTTACAACAGAGGAATCTTGAATGGCTGAGAACCACTAAAAAAAAAAGTTCAAAGTCCTTAGTGATCAAATGCAAATCAAAATGACTGTGAGATTCCACCTTACAGCAATCAGAACGGCTAAGATCAAAACCTCAGGTGACAGCACCTGTTGGTGAGGATGTGGAGAAAGAGGAACACTCCTCCAATGCTGGTGGGACTATAAACTTGTTCAACCACTCTGGAAATCAATCTGGAGGTTCCTCAGAAAATTGGAAATAAATCTACCTGAAGACTCATCTATACCACTCTTGGGAATATACTCAAAAGATGCCCCACCAGGCCACAGGGGCACATGTTCCACTATGTTCATAGCGGCCTTGTTTGTGATAGCCAGAAGCTGGCAACAACCCAGATTTCTCACGACAGAAGAATGGATACAGAAAATGTGGTCCATTTACACAATGGACTACTACTCAGCTATTAAGAACGAGTTTTGCAGGTAAATGGATGGAACTAGAAAATATCATCCTGAGTGAGGTAACTCAGACCCAAAAGAACATGCATGGTATGTACTCACTAATAAGTGGATATCAGCCAAAAAATACAGTCAAAACTCTGACCCATAATTGTTCCTGTCTGAAAGAACTACAGGAGCAAAAATGGAGAAGAGCCTGAGGAAAAGGAGGTCCAGTGACAGGCCCAAATTGAGATCCAGCTCAAGGGGAGGCTCTAAGGCCTGACACTATTACTGAGGCTATGGATTGCTCATAAAAAGCAACCTATCATGACTGCCCTCCTAAAGACCCAACAAGCAGCTGAGTCAGATGCAGATATTTACACCCAACCAATGGACAGAAGCTGGTGACCCCTGTGGTTGAATTAGGGAAAAGCTGGAAGAAGCTGAGGAGGGTGACCCTGTAGGAGGACCAGCAGTCTCAATTAACTGGGACCCCAGAGATCTCTCATACACTGGACCACCAACCAGGCAGCATACACCAGCTGATATGAGGCCCTCAAGACATATATAGCAGAGGACTGCCAAATCTGAGTTCAGTCAGAGAAGATGCACCTAACCCTCAAGAGAATGGAGAGGTCTGGTGGGGTGGGTGGTGGTGGGGGGTGGTGACGTCCTCATGGAGGCAGGGGGTGGGGAGGAGATATGGGATGGGGAACAGTCAGAGGGTGGACCGGGAGGGGGATAAAATCTGGAGTGTTAAAAAAAATTTTAGGGCTGGAGAGATGGCTCAGCGGTTAAGAGCACTGACTGCTCTTCCAGAGGTCCTGAGTTCAAATCCCAGCAACCACATGGTGGCTCACAACCATCCGTAATGAGATTCGATGCCCTCTTCTGGTGTGTCTGAAGACAGCTACAGTGTACTCATAAATAAAATAAATAAATCTTTAAAAAAAATTAAAAAAAATTTTAAAAATGGAAATTAAAGCAAAACAAAATTGTTTCCCCAAATATTTATGGAGACCAATGGATGAATAGATAGATAGATAGATAGATAGATAGATAGATAGATAGATAGATAGATAGATAGATAGAAGATAGATACATAGATAGACACATACATACATACATACATACATACATACATACATACAGAGTTGAATGAACTCAACTTGTTGCAAAAATACCAAGGTTAGGAGACAAAGTACAACACTGCCCTCTAATCTGAAAATAACTGTAAATAATGTTTAATAGTATTCCACACACAGATCCTTAGATCAACCAATCCAGACACTACTCACAAAACATCTAACTCTCCCCATTTACTGGATAAAGCTATTTGAAATATTTGAATGTTCTGGGGATAATTTGATTCCAGGTTTACTTGAAGGTTAAGCTTTTCAAAGGCTTAATCCACCTAAGGTTCACTGTTAAAATGCCAGGTAATTCTAATATTCACACGGATGGTCCATGTTCTGTAGTTACTCAGACTCTTCAACTTCACGGTCATTAACTTCTAAGATCTGCTCATACATCCCCTCTCGGACTGCACTCTCTCACTCCCACTATACCACTCTACAGCTGCACCAGACAGCAGTCCATTTTCTCCAACTCCTCTGTCTTTTAGAACTCATTTATTTCTATTAATTCCACAGTATTGACACATTATTTAAATTACTCTTACCAAAACCCTCATTTTCTTTTCCTTCTCTACCTAATTTAGCTTTCTAGTACAAAATCGTAGATTTGGATTAGTCTAGATGAATGCTTTCCCTGTACCTTTCTTTTCTGTTTTTTAAAATTACATTTATTATTTTTATTTTATGTGTGGTTGGCATGCATGTATGTATATGCATCAACATGGGTACCATCTCTCTAGCACTTGTCTGTTTTTTGTTGGTTTTGTTTTGTTTGTTGAGACAAGGTGTGCCAGCTTGAATAAGAATGGTCCTCATAGGGTCATATACTTGAATTAGTCACCAGGGAGTGGATCTCTTTGATAGGATTAGAAGGATTAGAAGGTGTGGCCTTGTAGGAGGAAGTATGCCACTGTAGGTGGGCTTTGAGGTCTCAAAAAAGTTCTTCAAAAGTGTATACTCTGTGACCCATCCACCCGTTTCTCTCTCTCTTTCTCTTTCTCTCTGGATCAGGATATAACTCTTGGCTACTTCACCATCACTCCGGCTTATCACCATATTCCCTGCCATGACAATAATGGACCAAAGCCTTAAATGTTTTCTTTTAAAAGAATTTCCTTGGTCACAGTGCCTTGAACATGAGGTCTCACACTATGAAGGGCCTGGGATTTGTTATATAGACCAGGCTGCCTTCAAATTCTAAGGAGCTGTCTGCCTCTACCTCGGGAGTTCTGTTCTGTTTCTGAGGCAGGGTCTTGAGAAGGCCAAGGTGGGCTCAAATTCCTGATCCTCCTGATTCTACCTCCTCCCAGGCACTGACTTTACAGGTATGTGCTACCATATTTTGGGTTACCTAATTCTGCTGTTAGATTCTACTAAAGAAAAAATATAGAAGGGGACTAAAGTCCTTTGAACTCCGTCTCCTTCAAGCCTTGATGTTAACAACTCCTCCTTTAGCAGTGCCTTCTCTCACTTGTTCTAAGAAGCATTTCACAATACACCACAATACATGACTCTACAACACACAGCTCTCTCACTCTTGGGACATAAGCATACATGCTACTTTACAGACAAAGTAGACAAAGTAGAAACCATCAAATGAGAATTATCTTCTCTTAGAACATCCCCATCCCATTACCTAGAGGGATTCTGACACCCTCAGTGGAAGCCCAAAACAGTGAACAACTCAACAGTTTAAAACAAAACAAAGACAGACCAGTAGCAGCAGCAGCAGAGGCAGCACCACCAACAACCATCAAATAAAACACATTCCCAGCCTGGGGAGTGAACAAAGGCAAGAAGATTAGACTTGAGGGTCATTCTAGTAACACATACCAAGTCTGAAGTTATCCTGGGGCACATAAGCAAAACTATGTACTTTTTTTTGTAATATTCTTAAAGTATTTTTGAAGTTTGAACTTTAAATGCTTGGATTACAAGCATGAGTTTAAGTTTCAAACGTCAAGAATAACTTCCCAATGTGCTATATTTGATTTGGTTTTCACCCTGTCTTACCCCATCAAGAACTTTAAGCCCCACAAACTGGATGTTGTCAGATATCAACATAAAAGGCCCCATCTTACTGCCTCTCTGAAGGCACGTGAAGAAAGTGTATGGTACACACATATTTAGGCACTTACACACAGTAGATAGACAAACAAAATCTTTTAAAAAAAATTAAGTGAGTGCTGGAAAGATGGCTCCTTGGTTTAAAGCATCAGCTGTTCTTTTACAGGACCCAAATTAAATTCCTGGCACATAACAGCTCACAACAGTCCCAAGAGATCCAATGTTCTCTTCTGGCTTTTGTGAACACAAACAGGGCATAGAGACAAAAATACAGGCAAAATACTATATACATTAAAAACAACAACAATAACAACAACACTTTGGCCTGGCAGTGGTTGCACACACCTTTGATCCCATCACTTGTGGGGCATCTCTGAGTTCGAGGTAGCCCTGTTCTACAGAGTGACCTTGAGAACAGCCACAGCTACAAAGAAAAATCTTGTCACAGAAAAACCAAATGAATGAATGAATGTTTTAAAGAGGCCAAGGACAAAGGTAATTAAACAGAAAGAAATCTGGGGCCATACAGAAATACTAATAAAGAAATGGAAAAACAAGTATCTTTACAAAGACAAAGAGACAGAACAACTAGAAAGTACAATTCTTCCTAAGTTGTTGGTGTTCCAAGAATCAAAATATTTAACTGTTTACTGATGAATAAAATACTATCAATTACAT